TGAGAAAGCTAAAGCAAACTAATACTTTTAACAAATATTATAATAAAATATTAAAGTATCAAGTAATATTTCAAAGTAGAAACTGAGTATACTTCTTCACTATTAAGTGTGAGAAAGCTAAAGCACACTAATATTTTTAACAAATATTGTAATAAAATACTAAAATATCAAGTAATTTCTCAAAACTTGAGAAGCAAATTCAACTAAAGACAAAGATATTCTTGTTTCACAATTCAAGACACAAGTTATATTATCTTTAGAACATTAACACAGTAATCCAATGAATTGACAAAGTTTAATTATCATAAAAGTTATTTCGACATAAATTTTAAGTAGGGTATGTATATCACAAAACTATTTTATTCTAATTTTAAGCCAAGAGGTTATATAAAAAATGGAGGGTACATAAAACTTTATAAGTTAAGTTAAGTTTCATGTAAATTACACCAGTAGTACTGGGATAAAAAAACACACTGAATATACACGTATGCACAACTTCACGCTACGGACCTCAAAGGTACGAAACAGAAGTAGCTAACTCAAAAAAAAGGAAAAAGAAGAAAAAAAAAATTTAGTTAGGCCAAAAATGTTTCAAAACTTACCCTAAATATGTGCAGTAAGAATTTTGAGTTAAATTTGGAATTTAGGTGTCTCACTGATTTTCCTTGCCTCAGGGATGATGGTACGATAGGCTGAAAATACAATGAGGGTAAAATTATTACATGCGTACTGCACCCGCACAACCAATTAACGTCCTGGGGAGTATCGGACGGAGGGAAGTGTCCTCCTCCAAAGTGAATACCCTCAGGCACCCTCACACAGCACACACACAGAGGTTTGGATCACTGGCCAAACGTTGGTCGCCAATTTGTAGCCGCTTTTCTTCTCAGGCGGACTACTCACCGGCTGACCCAGTGGCGAGATCTATGAGATTACCTCAGGGCGCCTTCTAAGAGAAAAGAAGTGTGTGCGTGTGGGAAACCTACGGGACTCTTTAGAGGAAAACAACTTACACCTCAGTCATACATACATGTATATTTCAAAACAAAATTAAATTTACAATAAAAAAAAAATCAGAGGGTATAAAAAAAAAACCGCAGCGGAGCGCGTCAGAGCCGAGCTGATGGTGCTCGGTGCCACCTCGTCGTCCCTCCAGGAGGTTACTTCCTCTTCCGCCCGAGTCGGCTATTTATATTGGATATGGATAAAAGTTTAATAAATTACAATTATAAGTTTAAGTACGTAACTCTTGGGTACGGCTGTCCGCTTGCGTCGTGAGCCGCGCAATCACCAGCTTTGCCAGAGGGTACCAAGAAACTTGAGTCTGTACCAGAAGGCCACAAAAGAGCAAGCACGCCGTCTGAGACTGACCGTCTTGAGCCCGAAATCTGGGACCCTAACGAATGGATTAGCACTCATATAATTAAACAGGTTCCAGGAACAAATAGGTTTAAGTAGAATTAAGAACATACTCACCACTTTCGTGTGGGTACTTTGAACAGATAATATATTAAGAAAATCAAATCACACAGCAATCAAAACACTATATAAGATCGGAAGGCACGAGATAGCAGTGTCTCCCGTGGCAGAAAGCCGGACTTATATATCCTAGGTTCAGGAAGCTTCCAGACTTTATCCCTACTCAACACTTTACTTTGACATTTAACATCAGTGAACACAGAAGATCAATACTGTAGTTATAAACTACCTTAGATAAATCAACAACAATGCAACGCGGCTAATAGATGTAGCTTTTAACAAGACCATTCAAATGTAAAAAAAATAACTGTTACACCACCCCCTCCCTCAAAGTATTCCCTGCGTAGTGTGCGCAGGGAATATCCTCAACAGGGCCAAAATCCATATAAGTGGTTTTACGAACCCCGTGGTTTAGGAAAACATTCTATACTATGACTCGCGACTACAAAGCCTGTGGCTATCCATATAGGACACCACATGACATAACCTGAAGCCATCCATATGGGACCCAAACACGACAGTAGGCCGGAAGCAATCCTCATAGGACACAAATAAGAAAAATTTTGACGTAGTCCGAGACCACAATTGAAAGAACATTTCCCATGTAGGAAATGTAGTGAATGGACCCCTCAGGTCACAAAGGGGTGTCCTGAGAAGGTCTAGTCAGTTATAACTACACCGGCTAACCTATCTAGAAGGTATCTAGCCCCAACTCTAATAAGACAATTTATAACACGAAACGGAGTCACCTGAAGAAAAAACCTGTTCCAGTTCAAAGACCTTAAGCCCGCTGACAGACCATGTCAGAGGCGGAAAAGGCAGGAACAGCGGCGATGGCCTTAAAGCGGCCACGCCGGATAAGCCGCAAAGCAGTACGCATCTCACTTCGCAATCCGACAACCGTATCCTCAGGATTCGCTGAAATCCCCATGGAAGACAGTTCATTAATAAGTTCATCAATTTTAAGACAGTTAATGCACTTACGTACATGTGCCATGGTGGTTTACAATTTAAATTCGATTATACAAAAATAATCTTAACAAGTTAACAAACCAGTAATGCAGACTTAATGTCTTTTACAGTTCAAAAAAATAAAAAATAATGATATTGAGTAGACTCCTTCACTATCAACAGAGTGTGAGAAGTTTAAAGTAAATTAATATTTAAAAAATATTATAACAAAATATTAAAACATCAAGTAATATCTCAAAGTAAAAAATATTGCTACTGAGTATATTTCTTCACCATTAAGTGTGAGAAAGCTAAAGCAAACTAATACTTTTAACAAATATTATAATAAAATATTAAAGTATCAAGTAATATTTCAAAGTAGAAACTGAGTATACTTCTTCACTATTAAGTGTGAGAAAGCTAAAGCACACTAATATTTTTAACAAATATTGTAATAAAATACTAAAATATCAAGTAATTTCTCAAAACTTGAGAAGCAAATTCAACTAAAGACAAAGATATTCTTGTTTCACAATTCAAGACACAAGTTATATTATCTTTAGAACATTAACACAGTAATCCAATGAATTGACAAAGTTTAATTATCATAAAAGTTATTTCGACATAAATTTTAAGTAGGGTATGTATATCACAAAACTATTTTATTCTAATTTTAAGCCAAGAGGTTATATAAAAAATGGAGGGTACATAAAACTTTATAAGTTAAGTTAAGTTTCATGTAAATTACACCAGTAGTACTGGGATAAAAAAACACACTGAATATACACGTATGCACAACTTCACGCTACGGACCTCAAAGGTACGAACAGAAGTAGCTAACTCAAAAAAAAGGAAAAAGAAGAAAAAAAAAATTTAGTTAGGCCAAAAATGTTTCAAAACTTACCCTAAATATGTGCAGTAAGAATTTTGAGTTAAATTTGGAATTTAGGTGTCTCACTGATTTTCCTTGCCTCAGGGATGATGGTACGATAGGCTGAAAATACAATGAGGGTAAAATTATTACATGCGTACTGCACCCGCACAACCAATTAACGTCCTGGGGAGTATCGGACGGAGGGAAGTGTCTCCTCCAAAGTGAATACCCTCAGGCACCCTCACACAGCACACACACAGAGGTTTGGATCACTGGCCAAACGTTGGTCGCCAATTTGTAGCCGCTTTTCTTCTCAGGCGGACTACTCACCGGCTGACCCAGTGGCGAGATCTATGAGATTACCTCAGGGCGCCTTCTAAGAGAAAAGAAGTGTGTGCGTGTGGGAAACCTACGGGACTCTTTAGAGGAAAACAACTTACACCTCAGTCATACATACATGTATATTTCAAAACAAAATTAAATTTACAATAAAAAAAAATCAGAGGGTATAAAAAAAAAACCGCAGCGGAGCGCGTCAGAGCCGAGCTGATGGTGCTCGGTGCCACCTCGTCGTCCCTCCAGGAGGTTACTTCCTCTTCCGCCCGAGTCGGCTATTTATATTGGATATGGATAAAAGTTTAATAAATTACAATTATAAGTTTAAGTACGTAACTCTTGGGTACGGCTGTCCGCTTGCGTCGTGAGCCGCGCAATCACCAGCTTTGCCAGAGGGTACCAAGAAACTTGAGTCTGTACCAGAAGGCCACAAAAGAGCAAGCACGCCGTCTGAGACTGACCGTCTTGAGCCCGAAATCTGGGACCCTACGAATGGATTAGCACTCATATAATTAAACAGGTTCCAGAAACAAATAGGTTTAAGTAGAATTAAGAACATACTCACCACTTTCGTGTGGGTACTTTGAACAGATAATATATTAAGAAAATCAAATCACACAGCAATCAAAACACTATATAAGATCGGAAGGCACGAGATAGCAGTGTCTCCCGTGGCAGAAAGCCGGACTTATATATCCTAGGTTCAGGAAGCTTCCAGACTTTATCCCTACTCAACACTTTACTTTGACATTTAACATCAGTGAACACAGAAGATCAATACTGTAGTTATAAACTACCTTAGATAAATCAACAACAATGCAACGCGGCTAATAGATGTAGCTTTTAACAAGACCATTCAAATGTAAAAAAAATAACTGTTACAGGCTCTCTCCCACAGTGTAAAAATATATTTATTTAAATGGCCCTATAATTTTGACAGTACATTATTTTAGTGCGTACTTTGAAAAACACTGCACATGTTACAAATTATGCTGCTTTTTTTGCCATTGTTGTGGTATACAAAAATGATAAGTTCTCAAATGTTTTTCTTTTAGTTGTCTATCAATATATTTTATAAAACATAGTTTTAAAACAACATTTTAGATATCTAAGTGTCGCAATTGCAATTAAGCTAATTGAAGTTTTAATCAGACATACATAGCTAAGCAGTAAATTTTAATAAACCAGAAGTATATTAAGCTTTATATTTATTTTTACACTGCATAATACACAATATACTTATTCAAACTAACAAACCTATTAATGTAGACTGAAAATTGTAGGAGATTTGAAAATAAAAGCATGTTTATTTTAAAAATACAATTATATATTTTAATATATCACTCTTAACACACATCACTTACACTAAGAGTCTTTCAATTTCTTGTTGAATGCTCTGAATTTGAGGTTTCAGCTGGGAGCCTTCATTTATTGTGATAGAACACGAAATTATGGGCCGTGAGACACCACAAGCCCTGCCTAAGGCCTGCTTAGATCTTACAAATACATAAGGTACATTTTTGTCCTCACAGAGGATAGGAATGTGCAACACAATTTCTAATGGTTCAGCATCAGCAGCCATTATAATGAATTCTGAAAGCCCTCGGTTCAATGTTTTAGTAGCTTCATTAGCACCTTTACGGAGCTGCTTATAGTTGGCTGCTTGTTGGACAAGGTTGAGAATTTTGGCAGTAAGGGCAGCATCTGCCAATGGGTAAGCCTTAGGGTTCACTGCTGCTTCATCAGCCTGAAAAGAAACAATAATATTAATTAATGCAATGATTGCAAGTAAATTACACAACTTGTGATATACATCTAGTTTGGTTTAGGTTTAGTATAAAAGTAATTTGACCCTATTATCAGTATCTGTAAACATTTACGAATACGAGACAAAATTAACACGCAACTTTTTTAGGTTATAATAACCTAAAAAAATATGTGTTGATTCTTTAATAGACTTGTTGTCTATTGATATTTTAAAAACCGTGTAGTATAATTTGAATATGGAATAGTATTTTACACGCTTATTTCTAAATGAAAGTAAACACGTGCAACTTACCATGTTTATGAGGTTGTTATTATTGATGCCGACTATACCGAGTGTTGATTAAATTCAACCTCTCGGCGATTTCTCGCTTCACTGAGGAACTCGAAGAACGGGTAACAACAATAACGCACTTGGCGTTAAGTTTCTATTAAAAAATTGTTGTAGAAGATTTATTTAATGCAAAGCCGACAGAGGCGTCGCTATCCCACGCGTTGCTAACTATATAGTAGAGTTGTGTAGCTCCTGAATGAGTGATATAAAAGATATATATCATTCACGACGATAAAATGTATCACTCACTCACACTAGCTCCGAATATATCAGTAACTCAGTACTAGCTCACTAGATCATTAGATCACTAGCTCAACGACGCCGATCATTGTTTCATGAGCGAGTGAGACTAAAGATAAATGAGTGAGATAGGTGATGGTTGAGTTCACGCAAGTTTCTTTATGCAAAATGTACATTATTTCTATAGGATCAAAGTTTAATATTACTTAAGAATTAAGCCTGCCAAGTATAAGGAAAATCAAATTATGTACGATGTCTATTATACAACCTAAAAAAAGTACAAGAAATAATTTCTTTTTTTAAATATTATATAAAAGGGTGTTAATAATTATGTAATCTTATCAAAATGAATTAATTTAATCTAAAATAAAAGGTTAAGAATGTAGTTTCAAAAACTGAATTTAGGTTAATATGAAAATAAAGAAAGGTTTGTATGGCGAGAGAGGCTTAAAGTGGCTTAAAGGCTTAGATGAAGAAATGAATTAATTGAGAGACCAATCAATTGAATCGGATCAATGAGCTAGTGAGCTAAATGAGTTGGTGAGCTAAATGAGTTAGTGAGCTAAATGAGCTAGTGAGCTAGATGAGTGATATATATCTTTAGAGCGAAATGATATGTATCAATCTTTTCAGCTCAGTGATACATTTTGCGCATCACTACTATATAGAATAAGTATCAACTTTGTGTGACAGACGTATGACTTGACGACTTGACGTTAGTCTTTAAGTATTGCCAATAATTGTCGACATCGGCACAGTTTGCCATAGATAAAAAAATGTTCTTATTCTTCCATTATATTAACTGTAAGTGTTTAAACGCGATGTTTTAAGTTCATAAAATAGGTTCACCTTTTTATTGATAAATAATGCTTTATTTCTGAATTAAAATAGTACACTAATCTTTCTAGATTAGGAATGATATAGGTCCTATCCTTTTCCCCTTTTGCTACGGACACAAACATATTTCCAATATTTAAAAATTCACTTTCACATTTTGATGAAAACGGCTTAATTTATATATCAGACTGAGGCCTTATCAATTAATATTATTCTGAAATCTTATCCCATGTATGTCTTTAATTTATTATCACCATTGTGCTTGGCATGCCTGGTATTAATGATTTTTCTATGACAATTAGATCTTTATATTATTATTCACAGACATGCTTAACATCGGTTTTCATGTTCGGAAGTAATGCCACGGTACAATTATAATACAGTAGTGTAACTCGGCCGCATGATAGAAGTAAATGCCTACAGCCGCGCGGTACGTAAACATGCGTTAATGCTGCCCGTCTCCAGCATTTTAATTATATTTGCCTACTTTCTGTTTCTATTTAGATTTGTGATTGTAAATATCCTTTTTATATAAATAAATGAAATACTTTGTATATTGAATAGGAAGTGTTCAATAAAAATGCGTGTTGTTTTTTGATTGGTAGATTTAATTATTTTATTTTCTTTCTGCATTGGAGGAGTTCAAGTTTCAATTTTCTTTTTCTTGGAGTGTTGCTAGAGAGACTCGTTGAGATTTGAGCAAAGATTTCATTTGTTGCATTTTCAGTCTGTGTACTATTTTCATTTCCTACCAACGGAGCAGTTTCGGTTTGTTTATCTTCTTTTAGAGAGACTCCTGGATCAGTACTAGCTAAGCTTGGTAGCATCAACAATGGTAGGGCATTCTTTCTTAAAAGTTTTCTATTTGATGAATGTAATACATCCTCCAAATTAAAATGTTTTTCACAAACTTGGTAGGAACTAAAGTTAGGTTTGTTTTCCAAATCATCTCGCCGGATCAGTTGCAACCATTGAAGACGTCTGAAAAAAAAAATACATGTGGCACTCTCGGAGACTGCCGCGGTGAAATCTGCGTGGTGTCAGGTATTTTTCGTTAGGTTTTGAGAATTTCTTAATTCGGTCACCGCGCCGCGCCGCGCTCAGAGCCCGCGATAAAAGCTATGCAATAGCTTAAAAATCCTTCTATAAAATAAAAAAAATGTGCTTTCTCCATACGCGTTACAAAACTCCAATCCTTAGAAACTCCAACACCTGCCTACTCAACTAGAATGCAAGAAACAACTGACGAGTAAGTAACTTCTTATCTCAGCTTATTAACATCTCCATAAATTAGGTACCTACCTACAACTCGCAACAACTCAAAACAAAAATTCTTTGGTCACCAATTAATTAATTATTAAAAAGCTGAACAGCTGACTACGAATGTTTTAAAATCACAACCCTCAAACATCTAAATATTATAAATGAGTCTAGGTGTTGTTGTTAATACCGAGAAAATAAAACCAGTTTTTAGTGGTATATGTTGTTATAGTAGCAGCAGAAACACTTTGTGAAAATTTCGAAAACTATCTAATGACACACAGACGGTAAAAAATATTTCTAGTATTATTCATACACACAGATAATAAACAAATATTATTAATAATAAAATACCACGTCTTTACTTTGAATTATGCAAAGTAACAAAACACACATGAACCGAAGTTTTAACACAAGCATAAGTAGGTACCTACCGTATCATGATTCATTCAGAACAGCATGTAACTACCTATTTCACTCGTCTCAATAACTTTCCGTTACTCTATTCGCTTTATTTATTAATACAAACACCTTTTTTTTCGTGAGATAAAAGGAAATACTTATCCATTAAAAAGACACATATTATGTACCTACCTACTAGTAAGTAAAATTATTATTAAGTAAAGTAAAATTATTATAGTCTTACCTTTCAGAGTTTCCAGGTAATTAAAAAAAAAATATGTCTGAATGCGTTATTGACGAATTCATACAACCAAAAACAGCACAATATTTCCTACTCGTCATATTAACTGATTTTTAGAGAAAAAATCGCGCGGTTATTGTTAAAAAAACAACACACCGTCCATTTGACACTGCGGCACAGCCGTGACTGTCTGCGCCCCGAGCGCACCCCGAGATCGAGGCGCGTAGGTATAGCTCGCGTTTCGTCCGTTTGTATGAAGTTGGAGTACTGTATTATAATAGTACCGTGGTAATGCTCTTCACCAGTTATAAACATTTACTGTAGTCAATACTGATGGTTTTAATTTTTAAATAAGATTTCACATCACATCAACAGCCTGTAATAGTCTACTGCCTGACATAGGACTCTCCTTAGAAACGTTCCTGGATTAGCCTATAAGCTATTTAAGCAATTGCTTAGTGCATCCCGTCTAGGGGGGAGGGGGAGGGGCTACCGAGAGAAAAAAAGAGCACACGATAGTTAAAGCAATTTTAAAATTTTAAAGTTAAACGTCGTTTACCTTCGGTTCGGTCGCAGTCACACCTCACTTCTCTTCAGTTAATTCTTTGTAGTTCAATTAATGATAGGGGGGCCCAAAAGCTCCGCCGTCTCCTTCTGCGGGCAAGTTATGCTTGCGAAAGAGATGGCGGAACGGGAGCGGGAGAGGTTTAGAACTCGCCAGGCCCAGGTACCGCAGACGACTCGGGCGCTCGAGGTCGCGGAACGACCTCCGCCTGGGGGTAACAGGTGAGGCCTTTGTCTGTACTGTACACCTGGTTCTCCAGCTACTGGTGAGCGAGACGGCGTATGGTTTTTGGTCGGTTTGGCTCCGACATATCCACCACAGCGGTGGGTGGTATCCGAGGGTATCGCACAGGAAAAAAAAGGGGGGCATAGCGGAAGATTACTTAGAGCATCAAATTACCTCAATCCGGCACTGCCTAGAAAGGAGATTTGAATAATAATAAGGCTTAATAGCGAAACAAGGAAGGTTTTAAAATATATGTATTTTACAAGTGCTGAGAAAAATTAACATTCTCTTAAATACAAAATTCACATCTCCAATATTTGATAAAACCAAATAACATACCACCATTGTCACCACCCCAATTCATCCCGTGGGTGTCGTAAGAGCCGACTAAGGGAGCAAACTAAGCAGGACAACAGCACTGCAAAGAGAATGAAAACTTGAAACAAACCCTATACCAACCCGTCTGGCCAGCGTGGTATAGTAGGCCAAAACCTCCTTTCTAAGGAGAGGCCTATGTCCAGCAGTGGACTAGTATAGGCTGTTGTTGATGATGATGAAATAACATACAAACTTCTTGTTAGTAACTAACATTTCATATCGCCAAACTTTTTATTTAAAAATAAGAGTGTTAATTACTTTAAGAACTAGTCACATAAATATACTTTAATTAAAAGTATTTAGGTTAAATCTACATTATAGTAAATGAGAACCGCCAAAAAATACAGTCGCACGCCGGAAATGCCGACAGAAGTGAAAACTTGTTTTTTTTTATCATTATAACAGTTTTTTTCGATTCGAAATGTTCGACATGAATATATGTTGTACGTATATACACAATATATGTTTTTATTATATATAATTATATTATCAATGTATTTCAACCCAAACTCAACCCTCGTGTAAACAGAGCCAATATGTGTAGATACAGAAGTGTCGGTAACGGTAACAGTGTCGCGAGTTCAATGGTTTTTCCCATCTCAAAAAATTATATTATTTTCTTTGTTGTTCAAAAACTCTCAACACGCATAAAGAAGTTAGAAGATCTTATACTGATGTGAAGGAAAGCTCTTAGGAATCATATTCACATACCACGGATGTAGCAGACGGATCACCTGATGGTAAGTGACTACCGCCGTCAATGGACACCTACAATTCAAGAGTCACTAGTCCATTCCGCCTTTTGACCCCCCCTCCTCAGAACATTGCGGAGGGATGGGGGGTTGGGATCGCGTAGCGTCAAGTAACGATAGAACGGTTTTCTGTGAGATATCATTGGTCCGTCGAGCAGTACCATTTATGCTAAAACACGTGGTTTCATTATCGTCAATTTGTTAAGTAGGGGATGACGTGACCGAACGTTATCGGCTAAAGCTCTTCAAGTCAGGACGTTTGTCAACCAGCAATAATAGAAAGTAGTCGAGAATATCCGAGAAGCACCCTTTTATAAATTTATTTTACTTCTTTGTGCACTTACGTACATCGGCGGACTTAATGCCCTGAAGGCCACTTCTCATAATAAAAGTTCGGTCTCAATAGACTGCACGGATGGCGTAGTGTAAAAAAAAAAGTGTTTCGACCAACTTTCGATACCACAACTGTCATACGACTAAAAGGTGTTTTCTTAGTAAAGTATTCAACATGCAACGTTGTCTGTAATGTGATTATATCGTATTGTAACGTATTTCTTCTCATAAGGCTCAACTTGCTGGAAACGGTCGGTTGTAGATCGGCACAGGCATATCATGAAAAAATAATAATAATATTACTATGGACTAGATGGCGTTGTGTGAATGTACTACATTCACACAACGCCATCTAGTCCCAAACTAAGCAGAGCTTGTACTATGGCTACTAGACAACTGATATAATTACAAATATACTTTTTTTGTAAATACATACTTATTATACATAGAAACAACCAGACCAAAATGTTCATGTACACAAATGTTTGACTTGAGCGGAAATCGAACCCGCGACCTTTGGAATAGCAGTCCGTTACACAAACCACTACGCCATTCGGTCGTCGATTTTTTTTGTATAACTTTAATTTTTATTAAATTTATTTTGCTTACTATTTGACAAGACAGAGATTGTTGCTATTTTGTGTGTTGATAGACGATTTCAAACAGAAATAGAGTTTATACCGTATATATATATTATACAGAGGTTACGATTGTAATCACAGATTATAAACATTTTTTTTCTTTAAATCTTTATGTGATATGACTTTCATATAGTATTTGGATGAATATTCAGGAATTAGTTTTTTAATATCGCAGTCAGGTTCCTGGAAGTCATTGTTCTGGAGTCTCGAGCTGAATCGCAATGCAAAAATCGTCTGAAGACGTAAAACAGAACAGCTTGTCGCTTCGTTGAAACACAGCCTATCTCAAGTAGACTTTGTAGATCTCTGCCGCAAACTCTCAAGGACGTGTAGTTGATGCGCAAACTCGTAACTGCCGAATAAAAAAAACCCGGCATTTGAACGTTTTGGTCTGCAAGTCTGGACAAGCTATTTCAAATGTCCTGTGCAGTTGTGTAAGGAGCTTCAATAAGGCTGGGAATCCGATATTAGGTATCTAAACGAACAATATAATATAAAACTATTGGATTTGTTTGTATAGTAAAAATCTATTATTTTTTCTTTAAATAATAATCAAATATTTACACAGATGAGTGAATAAGACCAATAAAATATTTTTTTTTGCAAAAATCCTTTATAACTATTCTGTTTATTATCACTATCACACCTGGGACTTCCAACTAAAAGATGGTCTAATAATGTTATGAGAATTAGGGACTTGGGTATTTTGATTTTCCAAGCAACTATAATTATTATTGCTTATAAGCACTATAAGTTTTAAGTTAAATCTAGTTTAGTTTTGAGCAAAGGTTGCTCTCTATATTAACCTAAACATTCTGATAATTTCCAGGATTAATTCACAATAATTTAATAAGGACACTGAATACCATATTAGTTCCACAGGGCAAAATCGTTTAAATAAATAGCAACTCTCAGTCCAACACAATATAGTGCAATTTAGGTCGCACAGCGCTAATCACCCATAGATATTTTATCTAGAAAGTACCTGTCTTTCTATCGGTTTCTCCGCCGTCTCCTTCGCAAGTATAACTTGCGAGGAGAAGGTGATGGTGGACACCTATCTATACCAATGTACACCCACGCCGGACATTCTAACAGCGTCTACGGTCCGGCCATCGCAGTGGTGGCTCCTTGCGGATCATACACAGGTGATCTCCGAAGCATCCTTTCCCAGTGATCACCTGCGTCTTGGGATGTGTATAAGAGGGTCCCATGTTGCCTCTCGAGCCAATCCTAACACCTAGCTAGCTACTAGCTACCAACATCTTTATACTTCGTTACAATATCGTTATACTAATAGGATGCCTTAAACTTTCGCCCTTATTATAACACTTACGACCCAGCCGGCTCGCATCGCACTGAGATACAACCCGTCGACGCCGCTATGTAGCTCATACCTATAAGGCAAATATATGGTGAAGGAACAGGAAAGTAAGGACGGGGGCAGGCTTTAAAAGGATGTTTTAACTGAATTAACAGTGATCTTAAATGAAAGGTTTGATTGACTAATTGCGGATGTCGGTCTCCATAGCCAATGTTCAACAATGGTTATCCTATGGGTGAGATAATGTCGAATTTATTCTTAATCTAATCCTTAATTAAACTTATTCACAAATAGTTCATTTAGGAAGCCTCTCATCTAGGCTTCACATATTTATACTAGTTGGGCTTTTTAAATGTGTTGTTTTGGTTGTTGTTCTGGTTGTTTGGGTTGTTGTTCTGTCCAGACTGGCTCGATAGGAATGCCAGATGACCCTTTGGACACTTATTGGCATAATGTCCTTTAGTACCGCACTTGAAACATGTGACTTCTTCCAATGGTTTGTGGACTATCCTTTGTAATCTCTGACCGTGAGGTTCTTCATTTTCGTTAGCAGGTTTGACATATCCTAGGGCACGATATCTGGCTTCTTCCTGCCGTTGAGCTACCTCTCTTTGCTGTAAAAGGAGATAAATATATTATTAATTAAAAAAAATCCGAACAAGTGCGCGTCGGACTCATCCACCGAGGGTTCCGTACACATTTTTAGGTACATTTTATAAATAGTTCAGGAATCTAATGTCGCAGTTTTTTCCGAGATTTGGCCGAAATTCAGTTTCCAAACCCTATAATCACTTTTATTAATGAGTTTTGTAAAAGAAATGGTACCTCGATGATTGAAATAAAGACTATATTTTATAAGATTTATTTACAAATGTATAGTTTTCCGATTTTTCCCTGTACTTGTAGTATAAGACCATGTTAATTGCCAACTTTTAGAGTTATAGGTCAACGGGAAGTACCCTTTGTATCTAAGTATCGACATCGTTTTTTGGCAAGTGAAACTGACGTGCCGTGACTAGAAAACGTAACCTAGCACATCATCAACAGCCTTTAATAGTCCACTGCTGGACATAAGCCTCTCCTTAGAAAAGAGGTTTTGGCCTACTATACCACGCTGGCCAGACAGGTTGGTATAGGGTTTGTGTCAAGTTTTCCTTCTCTCGGCAGTGCTGTTGTCCTGCTTAGTTTTTTCCCTTAGTCGGCTCTTACGACACCCACGGGATGAATAGGGGTGGTGACACTCTGTATTCTTAATTCGTCACCACACGGACCACCAACCTAGCACAATTATAACAAAACATAAAACAATTCTTATTGAAGTTTAACATTTTTTTTAAACTAATTTACATACTTATAAATTTTGCGCCTCTAGCATTAATGAACTCTTATATTATTTTTACAATGACCCAAAGAATATAGCTTCGTTTCGTTCGACACATAAAAACTCTAGTGCATTATTTATGACTACCTCCACAGGTCTAAAATAGGAAAAGCGTTGGTGGTACGTAAGACATACACAGTGGCCACCGCGGCATCCTACGTCTCGCGATTGCGTAGAATGAGTAACCCCCTCAAGCTGTAGTAGCTAATTATAATGACTAAACACAAGTAAAATAAAATTGAAGTTACTGGTTTCCATTCCATAGGCACAACAGTGGCTCAACAGTCAGATGCAGGCAATTCATCTAGTTTAAAGGACAGAGTTCCACATCTCAAATACAAAATTTATAAATATGTATATCTTTGGGTAAATTAAGTATTATTATAAAGCCTATTAGAATTTGTACCTAACTGTTTTATTTTTTAAATGATGGTCACACTTATTTGTGGAATTGATTCTATACTGAAAAGGATACTCATTTTTGCATTCGGATTTACCATTATTGTCTTTGCAGTTGAATGCACTTTCACTGTGCTATATTTACTACATAAAAGATATCACAAAACTAACCTCAGCTGGTATCTTGCTACATGTAGACGCTTTGTGCCCGACTTCAGAGCAGTAATGACACACTGGAAGTCTCTTAGCATCCTTAGTTTGTTCTGGAGGTGCAGGTAGCTCAAATCGTGGATGCATATACTTGCAAGAGGGGCCATCAGGACAGAATCCAGTAAGATAGTTCATACAGAAGACTCGCCGCACGTGCCGGTGGCGACAGTGAGGACCGTGGCGACAGAAGCCTCGGTCATACCTTGAAAATAACAGACAGTCTTTCTTTACTATGGTGGATCTATAGATTTTTACTTCTATACAAAAGTATTGTCAATAGTAATAATAATAATCTGGCACATATTACATATCTAGACCAGAACTGTGCAGAACTTGTACTGTGGGTATGTTTCTACATACTAGAACTCACAGTACAAGTTCTGCCTTGTAAGTTAACATAACATCAACCACCCAATGGTTGGTGGTGTTTATCTCATCATCATCAACTCAGCGTTTAGTAGTCCAATGATAGACAAAGGCCTCTCCTCCGATAGGAGGTTTTGGCCCACTATACCACACTGGCCAGACGGGTTGGTAAAAGGGTTTTTTGCAAGTTATCATTCTCTTTGCAGTGGTGTTGTCTTACATAGTTTGCTCCTTTAGTCAGCTCTTACAACAGCCACATGATGAATCAGGGTGGTTCCATTCCGTATTCTTAATCCATCCCGATGCAGACAGTTTAGGTTTAGTTACCTACTTTAATTTGTTTATCTAAACATCATCAATATAGATAAAACCTTGCATAAAAATGTTAGCACTCAACAGAAATCCAATCTGTGACATCTGACAAGATAGCCATCCAGCCAGAACTGATCAGACAGAAAGGTTTTCACTTATTTTTTTTCGCACTTAACTTCAAATTATGCACGGATGGCATAATGGTTTAAGCGGTAGCCACTGCTTCCTACTTGGCCTGATTTATAAAATATGTTAGTTAGAGAACAAATATTTTCACATACCAAGGGCAGTCTTTAATCTTGCTTTCAGGGTCTATATGTAAGAATGGGCATTCTTTGTTATGACAGGCATTAAATCTCGCATAGAAGTAGCACTCAGGCATCTTGGACATGTCATACTCGTGTAGGAATTCACATTGGTCTCCTTTCTTACACAAGCCTCGCAGCCAATGCTTACAGACTACTGTACGGTCCCCTCTAACGTGTCTGTACGGGCATTGAGGCCCATTTCCACAGCCTCCAGGCTGACTGAAAAATTCGCAAACAGCAGCGGTTGATTCTGTAAATATAAGTTAAAATAATGTAGCAAAAATAAATATTTATAGCCCTATTTTAATACATTTTTTGAATTTGTACTTACTGTCCATGCCCGGGAAAGGCAGTGGTAGGGCTCCATATTGCTCCTCTAATGCGTAATCTATGTCAAATTTGAGATGGTCTACATTAGCAACAATAACTTCCATGTTCCAAACTTATTAAGTTGTATTTTTGGGGAATAATCTAACTTCTTTTTGATAAAAGTCCAAATTGCAAAAGAACCGTAAAAATCGTAAATGTCATCAGAAGTTGCAAGCCGCAACGATACAACAATATATACAGATTAAAAATGGAACAGCTGATGCGCATTTGTGGAACACGTGTCGTTTTCTCACTACTCGCTGTTAATATTTGAGGATTTTTTTACAACAATTAAAACGTACACATACAAAATTACTTAAATGACAACTATTTCCTATACATATACCTATTTAAGCCGCTTTCAGTATTTCTGTCATTTGGAAGTATCACTAACTAAACATAAATTTTAAACATAACCACCGCTTAAACCACTACGCCATCCGTGTAGTCAATATGTTAGACAACAAATACTACACAGAGATACATACATTTTAATTAAAAACAGAGAAGTGTACGTGACTTTGGATTTCATCTCGACCAAGCGCTGAAGTTCAATTACCATATTCTAAATGTTGTCTCTAAAGCCTTTAAAGCACTGGGCTTTGTTTTGATAAACAGTAAAGAGTTTAAAACCCATCTACAAAAATAAAGCTCTTCAACACACTAGTCCGCATTATCTTAGAATATAATTAAGTGGTATCGAGTCCGCACTACGAGGTATTCACCAAACGAATAGAGAGTGTTCAAAAGCGCTTCCTGTATCACCTGTGGTGATCACTTATCTAAGCAATTACGAACTACACTGACAGGTTGAGACACTACAATATGGATACTTTAGCCAGTCGTAGTAAAATGCTGGACTTCATTATTCTTCACAATAGATTGCAGTGAGCTTTTGAGCTCATTACCCATTCAAATTACAACGTGGATGCCTAGGCATGATACTTTTAGCCTATTTTACATCCTACTACATAGCTCTACTACAAACCTGGGTCATTACGCCACTGTGCCAAGACTTTGTAGCCAATATAACATGTTATACGTATAACATGTTATATTACGTTAAGAATACGGAGTGTCACTACCCCAATTCATTCCGTGGGTGTCGTAAGAGCCGACTAAGGGCGCAAAACAACGCAAGACACCAGCACTGCAATAAGAAGGAAAACTTGACACAAATCCTATACCAACCCGTCTGGAGAGCGATGTATAGTAGGCCAAAAACTTCTTTCTAAGGAGAGGCCTGTGTCCAGCAGTGGACTATTAATATTTACATTATTTCTACTTATTTATCATGCTTAAAATATACATTTCTTATGACTAAAATACAAACTCAAAAGTATATCTAATATATTATTTTATTATACTACGCATATTACTGTTACTAATTGATATCTTCAATCAATAATAATGCTACATTATTTTATCACAAGAAAATTAATTTCTATTTCTTTTATTAACTGTCTCTACTATGTCTGTGCAGTATTTTAAAAATATACGCCTATTTTCTATATATATTTTGATCAAATTTGCAATTGTTATTTTCGTGTCTATTTTTTTATCCATTTTATACCTTTGCCTACCAAAGGTGTGGCACTCGACAGTTAGTTGTTCCCACAACTAACTGTCGAGTTTCGGTTTCCCGGTTTCCAAAGCATCCGGTTCACAAATGTGTGTGGGTGAACCAAACGGGTTGGTATAGAGTTTCTTTCAAGTCTTTCTCGCACTAGTACTTGTGCTTAGTAACTTATGTCACTAATAATTTTCGACACACGGGGCAGCACTGATTTTTACTTCATCTGCTCTCAATTGACTTTTAAAATAAGGTAAAGTGAAAGTGCAATGTTTGTTCAAATAAAATAAGACTTGACTTAAAGGTCTTAGTTACCAGGTCATTAAATTCCAAAAAATAAAAAAATTCAATTGACTGTCACGTTCGTGTCATTACTGTCAGTCAACTGTCTGATAGGTTGCGTTCTCACAGAATCTATTATTTATTTTGTAAACAATTTATTTTAAAAATGTCTTTATCAGATTTGAAACATACACTACGGAAATTTGAATTTCCAATCTGCGCCAGAGAAGCGCTCATTAGAATCGGTACTACATTAATATTACATACGATTTCCTACTTTTCGAACTACTACTACGAACTTTAACTGTTATTCAACTTTTAAATATGTAAAATTATTGGAATTTAGCTAGAACTCTTAACCTTATGTTTTTATATTTTTAGAGCAATTACTGGTGGGTCGAGCAGCTCCATCGACCAAACAGCTAGATATAGCAATGGACATTATTTCTGAGTTCGTATTCTGTGAATCTGATCGCCGTGGTGGACGTAGAGGGGGAGGTTTAACGCCACTTCAAGAGTTACAACTCATAGAGATAATGTGTGACTACTTATCGGCTTGTACGAATGAAACAACAAAGAATACAGTTTTTCTGTCATTGTTTGGAGGAATGGAGAGTCAAAGGCGGCTAAAAATACTAAGCATACTTGCCAGTATGGCTGTCTCAGCGTCTAGTACACCAGTGCTGCCGTCTAGTACTCCGGCAGCAACATCTAGTACTCCAGTATGTTTTTTTAAATTGTTATTAACACAACATTTAGTTAGGAGTCTTGTAGTGACGTATTAAGAATACGGAATGTCACTACCCCAATTCATCCCATGGGTGTCGTAAGAGCCGACTAAGGGTGCAAAACAACGCAGGACACCAGCACTGCAAAAAGAAGGAAAACTTTACACAAACTGTCTGGCCAGCGTGGTATAGTAAGCCAAAACCTCCTTTCTAAGGAGAGGCCTACGTCCAGCAGTGGAGTATTAAAGGCTGTTGATGTGATGATGTGACTTTAGCTAATCTAAATAACAGGGCTAGGAGTAGTTTCATTATGTTAGCACATTCAACAGGTTTTGAACCCACAATTACTTGATGGCAAGTCTAATCTATTACACTACCAAAACTTCAGCACCTGCTTCTTGAACATTGTACACAGATGTCAAAAACTGCTAAAAAATAAATACAAATTTTTAAATAACTTTTAGCATCTCAATAAACATCATTTAACAGTACTAAATATTTTTTACAGGTATTGCTAGCAGTAGGTGTTTGGCTACAGCAAATGGGCTGCTCATCTGTCCAGTCTCTGCAATTGGTTGAGAATGTCATTAGAGACCATTTTAGTCTCAACACATCCAATCAAGTTGCATTGAGATCTCTGGCCAATTCGGCACCACAGTTTGTTTCAAATTTCATCACAGCTGTAACAGAATTGTACATGCATGACATGCAAGGTACAAAGAAGTTGCCTCCTAAAAATCTGTTGGAAGTTATCACATCATGGGTCAGTATTATTATAGGTTATTTCTCATATTAATATGACGTGTCTAATAGCAGTATCTATCTATAAATGCTAAATGCTAAACAATCTGATCTGAACTAATGACTAAGTTGACTGCACGGATGGCGTAGTGGTTTAAGTGGTCGCCACGCCGCTTCCTACTACGCCGAGTGTTGTGGGTTCAAACCCCACATGGGACAACACTTTGTGTGATCCACAAATTGTTGTTCTGAGTCTGGGTGTTCTTTGTGTCCGTTTCATGTATGTTTGTAAAGTCCCTCGCGACACAGGAATATATATTCCTAATGCGGGCGTTGTCTTTTTTAAAAAAAAAAAAAGTATTTGTTTAACACACGCGCTAATGTCAGAAACTACTGGTTCAAAAATAAAACAATTGTTTAGTGATGGAGAGGCCACTTACCCAGGATGGCTATATGACATAACTCTAGGACCCATAGGAGCCAAGTGTCAATGAAAAATTTATTCCTTTTGAGAGATGCAGAAGTAGTTGCGTGGGTCACCTGGTTTAGTATAATGATATAAATGTTTTTAACTCAACCCATAAGAAAAAGGGCAGGCCTTTGCTGCTTTTTAAACTGTAAGACCATTCTCTACCACATATTTAAATTAAAATAAATGTAGCTTAACTAGTAGTAATTATATTCACAGGTTTACTCAAGCCCAACTTTATGCATGTCTGCACAATTAAATCCAGCAGCATTGCCGAGTGGTTCTATACCAATGGCAGCAGTGACACCGTTAGCAGGACTCATACATTGGTGTGCATTGGCTCCACTTTATATTGACGAAGGTAATTGTGTTTTCTGCCATATGTAGGTTGAGATGGTGAAACAAGGAAAGATATATTAAGCTAAGTGTACAATTAAATCCAAACTTCCTTTCTTATATTATAAATGTGAAAGTGAGGTTGTTTGTTTTAAATCTAAAGTACGGGCATTACTTTTTAATCAAAATTAATCATATTTATTTTATTTCTTGTTTTATCTGTTCGCTTTTAATTTATGAAATATTGTTTTATACTGTATTCAGACCTTTCTTATTATTATTCTTTTGTTATTACTTTTTTTGAAATTTTTGTACCGATCGAGGTTAACCCTTAGCATTCGTTATAAACCTTCGTGGCTTAGGAAATGCTATGTATATTAAAATTTTCTCATTAATATGTTTACACTTTGAAAGAATATATAAAAAAAACCGATTGTGAAAATTCTCTCACCAATGGACAGCTATATTATCAGCTTTTAAACTTTCGCGTTCAATGGTAATTAATATTATTTTTACCTCTGGTTTGCCTAACGTTTCGACCAGGTTGCACCGGCCGTGGTCACAGGCTGACAGTCAGTCTATGACCACGGCCGGACGTATGTAATACTCTAAATAAGAGATCGCGTTATTTGCGGTGGTATGCCACAGCTAGACTAGTTGTGACCGCGGCGGCGTCAAGGGTGCACGTATTTAGAGAACGGATAAACCATTAAAATGCCCCTATCATAAGTGGCTCGATATTGCCTTGAAACAAGTGCGTTCTTAGCTGAAGATATCGTTCAGTCAAGAATAGGAGCGCACCCAGTTAACCAGAAAAGGAGAGAACTTGGCGAATTTCACACTCTTTATTATGAATATAGGAACTATCCCGATAAATTTTTTGAATATACGCGGGCAAGCATAGAAACTAACTAATGAATTGTTCCATATCCATTATTTATTTTATTGGCTCAACGCTCGATAAAAACAAAATTATTTGTTTCGGTTGCGCGATGCCTCAAAGCGTCCACCGATGCCGCCGCGCGCGCCGCTCTGAGCTGTGGCCACCTCGATATTGGCTAGTACATTTGTTTCACTCGCACATCGCGCAGCTCGTCGCCGCCGCGTGCCACGCGCCTCTTGCCGCGCCGCAGTGCGCGTCGCCGGTAGCTGTGGCATACTTCATAGGTTGTTTACCATTTGTTTTCGCCGCTCACCGCTTACCGCGCCTCACGACGCGCCGCAATCCGCACCGCTCTTGGCTGTGGCCAGGCGGTAACAAAGACTACTTTATACTACAATAACCATACACGCGGCCGGAGCTGACGGCAAGAAGCACATTTACATTAATTACCCCGAAGATATTGATAGAGGAGAGGAGGATATTAAATACCCATTTACGATAACACCCATACGAAAAAGGCCTATTGCTGTCAGTCGTTAATATAATGAAAGGAAAGGTAGATAACAGTGGCAAGTAATGGTAGGAATGGGATAGTGCTTGAGAGGGAGTATAGCTCGAACAGGCCAGGGTCGCAAGCCTGTGACTTATCATCATGGGCCATGCTTCGACACAAATGGGCCGACTCAACCGGAGTTATAGCATATCGTCACAAAAAAAAAACTGGTGTTAAGGAATTCTTTAGTTGCTTTTCACAGTGTGAGTGTGGTGACCGGAGCCCAAATCCACCTGATTATGTTTGGGGGGGACCCAAAGGAAGCACTTGTTACTTTAGCTGCAGGTGACCAGTCTGCTCGTTTGCGTCTCTATACCATGATAAAAAACTGTGAGGAAGTCAAGCCCTAACATAGAAATATTTTACAGATTCAGAAATGGTTGAGGTTCCAGTGCCTGCAAAAAAAATTAAATACGAAGGTGAAAAAGAGAGGACTATAGTGAAGACTGTCAACAATAACCCATTAACAGAAGCGGAGTTATATATAAAGCTGCATTTAGGTGTGTTACATAGCTTGCGTGCGGGACGAAGAACTCATGGACCTCCGACTGCTGTTAATGCGCAGCATCTAGCCGCGCTAGCACCACTAGTTCAAGCATATGCACATAATGTCCTGGAGAGAGGAGGTAAACTACAGCATGATAAGAAGTTACAGGTAATCACTAAACAAAATGTAGTATTTCCTTTATAATTATACATTACTGTGGGTGTCGTAAGAGCCGAGACGACAGCACTTTAAAGAGAAGGAAAACTTGAAACAAACTCTACATCAACCCAGCCAGCATGGTATAGTAAGCCAAAAAATCCTTTCGTAGGAGAGGCCTAAGTCCAGACTATTACAGGATGTTGATGATACATAACCTACTACTGTGATTTGGCAGTACAAGAAAGAATTATGTTAGTGTAATTTGACAATGGTTTCTCAATTAAAATAGATAATACACCCTTGCTTCTGTCGGTCGCTGGAAGGGATTGTAGTAGCAACAATTACAGTTTTAATTTTCCTTAAGAAGTCTACTGACATGGCTTAAAGAATACTAGTTATTATTCTTAACTACTGTTATTAATTGATATTCTTCTAATTCTCTCCAGCTAATCTTGTGTTAGGAGTTGTTTCATGTCAGTAGTATTTGACGGGTTAAATTCTGCAATCATAAGTACTATACCTCAACTATTATACCAGTGCCATTCTAGAAGAGCTTAAAATATAAAGCTTAATTTAAAAATAAATCGTTTCAGGACTGTCTCCATAGAATAGGTCAAGCAGTTCAAGTGGCCTTGGCTAATGGATGTGTATATGGTAATATCAGCAATTTGCTAGCTGCCCTGGACACATTACCAGAGAACAGATTACTAAGAATCATCATTAAGACTCACCAGCAGGTAATCTGAAAAGTTTTGTAATCACGAGGACGATATTAAGGTTCAACTATTTTTGCCCTACAATTCATATTAATAAAGTAGATATCTTTGATAATTGATGTTAAAATATTTAAGTTCTACTTTGCGACAGTAAATACAACAATGTATAGTAAAATAAACATTGCGATTGGATAAACACAAATCATCATCATAATCAGCCTATCACAGTCCACTGCTAGACATAGGCCTCTCCCATTGCACGCCACTTAGATCGATTTTGGGGTTCTCGCATCCAGCTCCTGCCAGCCATCTTGCGCAAACTTAAATATGCACACAAAAACAAGTTATGTATACAGGTTAATCTGGTGCTTCTAAAATGCGTCTTGTATTGACCCTGTAAAAAATCAGGTGATCTCACAACTATAATTGAACAAAACTGTTTCATTACTAGTTTACCAATCCACATAAAACAATGTAATCATACAATGGTTAGTGGACTGTTTTCTAAATAAATACATACAACAAAGTTTGAAAATAACTTTTTCAAGCAATATTATGTTCAAAATTTAGACAGGCTATTTCTGAAAATTGATTGTTTGGGTTGACACTGTTTCACACAGATAGATCTGTGTGTAATATTTGCAAAAGAGTTGTAATTAAATATAAGGACGAAAAAAAACTAAGGTAATAAATTGTTAGCTTATCCAGAATATATAACAGTGACAGTTGTGATTTGGAATTTGTTAAGATAAAGTGTAAATATTGTAAATAAAATACTGTGATAAACAAATATTATTTTATTTAAAAAGGTTTGAACCTACGACTCTGTTTTATCTGTGCAATTTTCTTTTTGTCTTCTTCAAACTTGTGTCTTAGTGCTACAATGTGTTTCATTTTAGATTCTCTGATCTGGAACCTGTAAAAGTTTTTCAATTCTTTCCTTTTCTTTTTCCTCTCTTCTTTTTGCATTATCTTACTTTCAACCTTTTCCGATCTAGCGAAACTTTGAACTTTTCCTTTCTTTGTTACTGTGACCCACCCTTCATCGTCTTCACCTTCCAATTCCTTCTCCTTCTTTTCCTGCTTTTGGGCTTCCGAATCAAACTGTTTCATGAATAATTCAATGTTTTCTTTGAGGGTTTTTGGTAATATTACAGAACTATTGTATTCGTCAACCCACTTTTTTAAACCAACTTTTACTTGATGTTTGTCAGAGTTTAATGGACATAGTTTTGAAAGCTTTAGAGCTTTATCTAACTCTGCAACAGTCTTAAACACTAAATAGGCAGCTTTAAATGTGGTTTCTTGTGGGTCAGGTATGAATTTAAGAACATCTTTTACTTCAGCAGTAGAAGGTTTTAAATAAAATTGGACAGACTGTACAGTTCCAGCGTCTCTGAAGGCGTTAATCATACCATTTTCATCAGCGTACGGCGGGACATTGACTACTAATAAAGTCCGTCCCTGCGGTTTTTCTTTTGTATGCTCTCTAACTATGTGTTCTTTGAAGTATATTGTGTGAGAAGCAGTTGAAGTCTCAGTTAATTTAAGATCACATGCTGAAATGATAAAAAAATATAAGAAAACGTGAACAAAAAAATACCACACGAGTTAATATTATAAAATGTTACCGTGAAAATTCTGAACTCGTTTTGTAGTCTTCATATTTAAAGCGTATCAGCAGCCACGTAAATCCATATATTATTAACTTAAGTTATACCAAAACAACACTGAGTTATAGGTTAGCTATGGCAATGGCAACAAACCAATCTGTTTTACTTTATTAGACCACAGGCAACAGTCACTGACAGATAACAACAGACTTTACAACACGTGTTTCGTTTAAAAAGCGGAAGCACTCACTTGAAAGTAGGGCCATTATTGTTCATTAATATTTTATTTTTTATAGTCAATTAATTACTACTTAAACTAATTATATTACTACTTAAATTTTGATTCAGATAAAAATCTATTTTTGGTAAAATCCACATTTATTTCCAATTATTGTGCAATACTTCATTCGTTCGGAAAAAATCAAGATGCTTACGAAATGACACACAATAATAACAGATTGAGTGACAGTTTTACTATTTTGTCTATGATATACAGTGACTGTTGGCGAAGAGTGCCTGTTTTGCCCGTATTTTGTTGTAGTTTTATGGCCATGTGTGGTTATATTTATGTATTTGACAAAATTTCTAGTGATGATATCCACTACTGCCAATAGTAAAGATAAAAACGCGAGGGGAACGGAAGGTGTTAATATTTCGGACAGGGACGAAATTGGTCAAGAAAACACAGACGATAAGGTCAGAGGTTATGTTGGTACGTACGATTCTTCTTCGTCTTTTGGTGGACCATCTAGAGATGGCAGATTTCGATCCCGAGGTCGGGTTACCGAGTTTAGACCATCCAGACGCGGTGGCAGGGGTCGGGGTAGTTTCCCGCCCCGGCGTCATCGTGATCCGCTCGACAGTTCTTACAAATATCACGAATCGTTAAACCAGCCCTCCAATGACACCTGGTCTCAAGGAAGTAGCAGCAACAAGTTCTATGAACGATCAGAACTGGCAGTCAATTTGCCTGAAGATCCTCGCATATCCAAGTTGTTGCGACGACTGTGTGCCGAGGTGGACGTGGAAAAGTCTCTCGTGATATGTAGCAAGCTTCAAGAAGCTGTGATGCTACCGGAAAATGCCCGGTATATTCGACGTTCTTATGACATTTTAGTTGAATCCCTTCTTGACGTATTGTATGATGCTCCTGGCCCAGAAACAAAGGAAGGTGCCGCTGCAATTCTTGGTAGAATTGGCTATGTTATGGGTCATGATTTTCGGAAACATTTGGATTGGATTGGTGCAACTTATGCAGTAAATAACTCTTCAATAAAACATTTGTTGACACTCTCATTCACAGAAACATTTCAACTGGACTATCAGGCGTCTAATTTATCTGACTTCTCGGAGTTAACATTGGACAGACTTCAGACGATTATAGAGAGCACAGACTCTGCTGATGTATTTATGGCTGCTATAAATGCTATGATTATCATGTCAAATTCTTATCCTGAACAATTTGCAAATCATTTTGTTGACACAGTAGATATTTTGGTGGGGTGGCATGTAGACAATGCACAGCCTAAAAAGATAAAGGATTTTGCACTTCAGTCATTATTTAAACTTAGCCGCCACTGGCAGGCTGTTATTGGATTTTCAGTGAATTTACTCAATCAATTTGTGGAAGACTTGGTGGCTTACTCAACTGATATAGATTCAGATAGCAACGATAGAGAGGATGATGAAAATTCCAGTGAAGATTGTATGCAGAAAATAACATCATTTCTGAATGTTTTCAACACTGTCGTTAAAAGTTTAGGGAACCTGTTGAGCCCTACTGTTTCGCAAACAGTTTCATGGGCGTTTCTCACAGAAGCTTTTACAAAAATTCTTCAAGTTTTGACAAAAACTTTAAAGGACGATGCAGAATCTGACTTGATACTGGCAGGTAACGAATGTATTTGCTTACTCTTGAAATATTTACAATCTAAGTCATCTTCTTCTTCACCAGCACTATTTTTACTGATTTCTAAAGAGATGAAACACTTTTTGCATGGAGAGGAAGCAGTTACTCTCAGTGTAATTAATTTGGTATCTACCGTGATAAAAGAGATAGCATCAAACCTTCCAATTGAGTTTATAGCGCAAACAGTTGGCCCTGAGTCTTCGCTGAGGCCACTGCGTTATAGCGACAGCTCCATAATATTGGATGCAGTGTTATCAGTATACAACAACCTGTTGAACTTGAAAAATATACCTCTTCTACAAGAAACATATAAGTATGTTTTAACAGATATACAAAATTCTTACTTTGTTATATTACCCGATATACAGATAATAAAACCAGACTATTTTGAGGAAGTGAACATCAATGATGCTGAGAAAAATATTATATTTTATCTGCAATGTTTATCTGAACTTGCAAATGCTAGCAACTCCATAATTGGCATGTGGGCTTTACAACCCAGCATATTGGAACTTCTTGCTATTAAAATGTGCCCACATGATGAAAAGTTAACAAAGTATAAGCCTGCTCTACAATATTCAATACTGTACCTACTTTACTCTCACTGTAAAAAGAATAACCATTTTATAGCATCCAGCGATTTAGTGACTAATACACAGCAAAGAGCTAATGACATGTTTGGTTTGTCAAATCTCAGTCTTGGTGATGTCTCAAGCTCAAGTCCCACCTCTGGACATTTAGCTGTTATCCTGAACACCTTAAGTATGATACTAGATGAATATGTACCTAAAGAAACTTTAACATTAATCCTAAATTGGGTATCGGACATATTCGGTCAACTGGATAAATATTTACCTATAGTAAGTATGTCAAAGTGCTTCTTAGTATTGACAACAAATATGCTGTCACTTGCATACAGTTTTGATGAAGATATAGTATTGCTTGTTATGAAAAATACTCAACAATTGCTACAAAATAAAACACTCACTCACACTTGGAATGTTATGATATTGAAAACGATTGCCATGCTGTGTATATTACACATTGATAATCATAATACTAAGCTATCTCATGTTTGCAAAGATGTTTTATTCGAGTTACCTTGGGACATTGTGCAGCTGGAATTAGACAAACAAGTTGTCAAGGTGTTTACTACACGAAAAATGAGTTTGAACATTCTTAATGGTGATACAAAGGCAAATTCATTCAAGGAATATCTTATGCGCGGTTCCTTCTGCAGCTTATCAAATCAGCATTACAAAATTATAATGAATTGTCTCCTCCAATCCTCGCCTGTTGATAATAAAGCTTTGATTGATGCATTTTTAACATCATGGCCTTTACAAAGTGCTGATATTGACGAGAATAATCTATTATTTTTCCGACAATGTGCGACAAGCTTTTCGTCCATTTGTCTTGGCTGGGCACTGTCAGAAGTCGCTCAAACTACAGTGTCTCTCAAATTACGGACCATTCTTGGCAAGCCACAAGAAACTTTCATGAAGATAGAAGGAGCTTTAAAAGGGACAGCGAGAGAAATTTCATCACTCGAATCTAAATATGTGGGAACTGAAGAACAGAAACTGTCTGATGTTATTATAGCAGAACAAATGAGAACGCGCTGGATTACAGAATTCATGACATTTCTAGAGAAATATATTTATAATGCTGCTGAGGGTACTGCTACTGTTCTGCCGGCGGTTGCTAAACCCGTTCGGACGTTCTTCCATACGAATTGGCCGACATGTCGCGAGTGGTTAACCAGAGTCCGTCCTGCAGCATTAGCTGTGAGTTTATATGCAGGACATTTCGGTGCGGCCATTTATAATGCTTCTTTGATATTAGAAACAGCTGCAAAAAGTAATACCAATATTGACATCGAAGCTATTACAATGAGCTTAGCACGAGCACTCATAAAAATGGAAGAGCCAGAAGTGCTACATGGTCTTTATGTATGGACAAAACAAACTTTTGACAAGAAGTTACTTTGGTTAAAAGGTGCTGCTGAACAAGCTAATTCCAGACACGAAATAGCTATCGAGTTCTATAAAAAAATTAATACTCACAAAAGCCACGACGATGCAAAAGATGGTGAATCTTCATCTCAAATAGACACTAGAAGCACAAAGTTTATTGATGAACAAGTTATGGAAAGCTATAAGCATATACAGAGTTGGGAAGACATGCAAGAATGGATAGAAAATGATGAGCAAACACATAGTTCACCATGGTCGTCGTTTTCAATATTGAGATTATTTGAGGACGGCACGGACATTCCACCAGATCTGTGCAATTGGGATATCCTTAACACGGAATCCAATGAAATATCAAAAAATATCTGCTCCTATCAGGGCTTATTGAATAAAATAGAATCAACTTTAGTATGCGCAGCTGTGACTATGTACAACAATGATTATAATGATAAGTACGAGGAATTGTTACAAAAATGCGATTTGCTACTTAAGTCGTCAGCTGAAGAATTTTCGAGAACCAGCGACGTTCACTTCATGAAAGAAGTGGCGGTGCTTCAATTGGCAAATAATGGGTTAAAAAATGTTATCAAATGCGGCAAGTTAATTTCTAATCCATTTAAACCGTCTACCGTAAAGGATCACAAGTTTGGTTCTGAATTTAAAAACTTGAGTCGTATATTATGGTGGAACCAATACTTTACAAAATTAAATATAACAGACGAAAATGTCTTTTATGCAGAATGTTTGCGATTAGATGTTATAAAAAGTGCCAGAAAGAACGCCAACTTACTTATGGCAAAGAGAGAATTACTAAAGCACTTTAAACAAAATTCGGCATTCCAAATTAGTGTAGGAAATGTCAGTAATTTGGATGAATTAAGCGAAGTACTGCTGATATCTGGTAATACATACGATCTGGAAATCTGGACACTCAACAACGCCACAGCCCTAGGAGAACTTTGTAAATTGACTTACGCCAAAGAAGACACTAAGAAACGTGCTGTAAATTTGTGTGCCAGTATTTGTTTTGGATTCTCTCAAAGATTAGCAATGGGCGAACAAACCTATGAACTACGTGAAAAGGGCACCAGATTACTACTTACGCTCTCAAAATGGGTACAAAATGAAAGTGAAAATATCTTAGAAGTTGATTCGCCTTTATTAAAATTAATATCAGCTCTCCCTGAAATTGGTTTGGTAGATAATAATATATCAGAAAATGTTATTCCGGTGTCAGACTCAGCCGTGGGCAAGCTGCTGCAATTCGGTGTTAATCAGTGCCCTGGATTAGCTAAAGCTTGGGCTAATTTTGCAGCGTGGTGTTTCCGTTGGGGACGAAAGATGGTCGAATTTAGTTCCAAGACCCGAGAACAATTATCAGATAACGACAAATTGCAAATCGAGAGTGTCATGATTGGATGTTCACCACAAGATTTTGAAGCAGTTTGTGAAATATTGTCGAAAACAAAAGCTACTTGTGATGATGAAGATATTGATTGGAATGAAATCAACACATCGGAAATGATCGAGAGTCAACTACGCACTGTACCGTCATTGAGCAATGCTTTCCCGGAACACCTTGCATTATTAGTCGACATTTGGCGCCAAGCCCAAAAACGGGTATTCTCCTATTTCGAGTTATCTGCCGACGCTTACTTCAAGTTCCTGCAACTAATTTGTGCTTCAGACTATATCAATCACAGTGGTGAAAACGCTGTAGTGAATGCTACTTTGCGTCTTCTTCGTTTGATAGTCAAACACGCTATGGAACTGCAGACGGTTTTAGAGTCTGGATTAGCCAATACGCCTACACAACCGTGGAAGGTCATCATTCCTCAATTATTTTCACGCCTTAATCACCCGGAAACATACGTCAGGAAATGTGTGTCGGACCTATTGTGCCGGTTAGCGGAAGATACACCACATCTCATTACATTCCCAGCCGTCGTAGGAGCAGTAGAAAATGAACAAAAAGATTTAATGGAGTTAAATGTTGGTAGATCTTACTTATCCAGCGAGGGAGCAGAGGGGAGCCAAAATACCATCGACTTAGATGATTCTGCTAGCGATAAAGTAATTAATAACGAGCTAAATTCTTGTTTCTTGGACATGGTTGAAACGTTGGCTAATCAAGCTCCCACGGCTATACTACAGGTTAAACTGTTAGTAAAGGAACTGCAACGTATCAATTTGCTTTGGGATGAATTGTGTCTAGGCACACTTGTCCAGCATCACTCTGAGTTCACCAAACGCCTGACACAGTTAGAAACCGAAGTTACGAAAGTGAAAAATAATTCACATCTATCGGCAGAAGATAAAGACAAGCTCATTAAGGAAAAACATCGTATAATATTCGAGCCAATAGTGTTTGTATTGGAGCAACTTCATCAGGTAACATCTGCTAATCCTGAGACACCCCACGAGGTTTCCTTTCAGACTAAATTTCAATCTCTCATTGTGGATGTAATAGACAAGCTAAAGAACCCTGCTAATCCTGACAAGCCACAAGAATCGTGGACGCCTTTGAAACAATTACAAATAAAACTTCAGCAGAAAGTCAGTAGGAGGACCTCATACATTTTAAAAATGTATGACATAAGCCCAGTTCTAGCAGAGCTTAAAAATACTGTGATAACCATGCCAGGAGTACATACCAATCAAAGGGCTGTCAGAATAACTATAAAAGGAGTAGAAAATAATGTGGCTATCTTACCTACTAAAACCAGACCTAAAAAGCTGATCTTTTATGGTTCTGATGGTAAAGCTTATACATACCTTTTCAAAGGTTTAGAAGACTTACACCTGGACGAGCGAATAATGCAATTGCTGTCGATAACCAATACCATGATGGCTCGAGACTCTGAAAATAACGACAACCAGACGTATAGAGCTCGTCACTACTCAGTCATTCCTTTAGGTCCTCGCTCGGGCTTGATTAGCTGGGTGGACAATGTGACGCCATTGTTTGCGCTATACAAGCGTTGGCAGAACCGTGAAGCTGCTTTACTTTCAGCCAAGACTAATAAGCCAGTAAATGTGCTTCGTCCCTCAGAGCTGTTCTATAACAAACTGAACCCGCTCTTGAAAGAGGCAGGTATATCTACGGAGAATAGAAAAGAATGGCCGGTGTCGATCCTGAAGCAAGTTCTACAAGAGTTATCGGCGGAGACTCCTCGAGACCTGCTGTGGCGAGAATTGTGGTGCAGTAGTGTTAGTCCGGAGCAGTGGTGGCAGATGACACGCCGTTATAGTTACTCGGTAGCAGTGATGAGCATGATAGGGTACATAATCGGGCTAGGCGATAGACACTTGGACAATGTTCTGGTGGACTTAACGTCAGGTGAAGTGGTGCACATAGACTACAACGTGTGTTTTGAGAAAGGCAAGACGCTGCGGGTGCCTGAGACAGTGCCATTTAGGCTGACTCCGAATTTGGTGACGGCGCTAGGTGTAACAGGTGTAGAGGTGAGTTCACTTTATTTTTCTTTTATTTTTTGAAAAATTTAAATATGAAGGGTGGTACAGTAATCTTACTTTTTTATTTATACTGTAAGTGATCATTTAATATAAGCCAAGCTACTTACTAGATTACACTGGTACCTTCGTTTTGTTGAACTATAGTTTGGCCGTGGTCGACACAGGTCGACGATACCTATCGTCCAAATAACCGTGTGAGCATTAAAAAAACCTATTATTTTGACATTACAAACAGACACTTCAATTTTATTGATTTGTATAGCCACTTAACTTACCACCTCCAGACGAAGCTAGAAAACCTTACATCATTTCTTCCTGGAAGTTTTTAGAATATATAAGTCATAACGGCTACTCAGCATTGTCTCAAATATAAAAGCAGTAATGTCAAAGACCACATTATAAACGGTTTTGTATTGTATTTAATGTTGATGTTATATCTGGTTGTATCTGGATTCAACCGGTTGCAATCAACACTGTTTTAAAGTAGGCCAAAACTGATATTAACATAATATAATATGATTACATTTGTGTTGTGTTTGTGTAAGAAGTTAATGGTAATTTAAATATTATAACAATACCTTTTTTTCCCCGACTGCGCCAGGAGGGTTATGTTTTTCGAGTATATGTACATGTATATTTCATAAGAAGATTTATGTCGTAAGAGCCGACTAAGGGAGAAAACTACGCACTAGAACTACAGAGAGAAAAACTATACCAACCCGTCTGGCTAGCGTGGTATAGTAGGCCAAAACCTCCTTTCTAAGGAGAGGCTTATGTCCAGCAGTGGACTATTAAAGGCTGTTGATGTGATATGATGTGATGTATATTTCATTGGCAGCAGATAAGACCACAAGAGGGTTCTTTTGGTCTTATTTGTATTTTGGCTTCCGAGGTGTCCTTACGTTCGTCTTAATAGTGAAAGTGACACTGGGTATATGAAAAATTGTTAAAAAAAATATATGTAAATTTTTAAGTATTTCTACATGTTCTGGCAGTTTTTTTATGTTCTTTTCAATTTATCTGTTTTACTACCAGCTTAAACCCACGAATCCAGTTGCATGAACTCGTGCTGTTAATTCATGGTCTTAATATGTAATGTGTTTTTAAGTAGGTACATATGTAAGTTGTTAGCTGTCCTCACAGACTGTCCAGTTACAACTCATTATCGTAATCAGTTTCTGGCTCATTTCCTAAATTTATTTGGGGTGGTATTAATGAGTTTGCCCCCATTCTCCCCTGCCACTCGTCAGTGCACAGCTTACTACCTATCTACCCATATCCTCTTTTACACAGTCCATCACTCTTTTCTTTTGTTCTTAAAAATAAAACTCCCACACTAGGAATGTATTCTGTGTCGAGGGGATTTTACAAACACTCATGAAATTGACGAAAAGTACAGACGTACTCAGAACAACAATTCGTGGATCACACAAAGCGTTGTCTTATGTGGGGATCGAACACCGTGGCGAGTTGACCGCTTAAACCACTACGCCATCAGTTCAGTCAGGTGTTTGGTCTTTCTCTTCTTTTATATCCGCCAATTTTTTCTACATTTTCCTTATCTCTACATACCACATGTTCATACCAGGATAACTTGATTTTTTTAATGGTATAGACGTGTCACCTGATGGTGACCACCCACCGTCCATGGACATCTGCAGCTCAGGAGTCCTTTGACTCCCCTAAACAAATAGAGAGAGTTTTAAGCGCCTGTGACCTTACTCCTTGAGAGGCAACGAAAGATAATAATATAATAATAATAACCTCACACATCTCGCACACGGTCGTCTGATCCCAAACTAGGCAGAGCCTGTGCTATGGTAACCAGACTGCTGATAAAAATACTTATATATTTCTGAATTCATACATATTATAGATAAAGTACACCCAAACACAGAGCGAATGACCGTGCTCATCACACAATTATTTGTCCTGGATGGGAATCGAACCCACGACCTCTGGTATAGCAGTCAGGGTCCCTAGCCACTAGACCAACAGACCAGTCAATTGATTAATATCGGCTTTCTGTGAGGCCGTCGTATCATTCCGGTGGAGACAACTTAGTTGTGCCGAAGGGCTCTTCCACGGTTAATAGTACCTCCTATTTTTCATAGTAGCTGCTTATTTTGAAACTAGATGGCGTTGTGTGTCAGATTTCCGAAATATTACTGTTATTATTATAGCAATTGAGTTTTCTTAACCGTGGTTCTTTTTTACTCCGATATATATATTTTTTCAGTTTTTCTAAGCCAATAGTTGACATCATACGATCATTTGACGACCGGATGGCGTAGTGGTTTGTGTAACGGACTGCTATTCCAAAGGTCGCGGGTTCGATTCCCGCTCAAGTCAAACATTTGTGTGCATGAACATTTAATGTTAACAATTTGGTCTGGCCGTTTCTATGTATAATAAGTATGTATTTACAAAAAAAAGTACCCATAGTACAAGCTCTGCTTAGTTTGGGACTAGATGGCGTTGTGTGAATGTGGTAGAATATTATTATTCATTATCATATCCAGGGAAAATTTGAACCTAGTCGGATCGTAATCGGATCACAGAACCGAACGCTTACTGTATTGTGATTACTAACTATGATGGCTCATGCAGTAAAAATTTAATTTGAATGAATTTCTAATGTAAATTAATTCAATTTAAAGTTCTGAATTACTCATTCGCTTTTTTTTTTAGAAATGTTAAGCAGTGATTTAATGATCCGCGGTAGAGAAACCAATAGACTCCTTTGTGGACTATGACCCTCGCATATAGAGATAGTCTATATCCAGTAATGGAATCGCTTAAAAACATTTTTTTTTTAATAGTAATCTCTATTTAGACGTCCGTGTGGTGACGGATTAAGAATATAGAGTGTCACCACCCCTATTCATCCCGTGGGTGTCGTAAGAGGCGACTAAGGGAGCAAACTATGCAGGACAACAGCACTGCAAAGAGAAGGAAAACTTGACACAAACCCTATACCAACCCGTCTGGCCAGCATGGTATAGTAGGCCAAAACCTCCTTACTAAGGAGAGGCCTATGTCCAGCAGTGGACTATTAAAGGCTGTTGATGTGATGATGTGATGATTTAGAAAATGAAATACCAGACATGTATTTTTATATATCAACTAACAACCTCTATAATCTAAGACCCTGAATCCTAATTGCTAAATCAGAGGTCGTGTCTTAGATACCACCCAGGACAAATATTGTGTGATGAGCGCCATCATTTGTTCTATGTGGTATTTATTTATAATATGTATGTATTTAGAGTTACATGTATCCGGTTTAATAGGCTAATAGGCTAGCCCCTATTACGTGAATGGGACTAGGATTATAGTGGGCAACATGTGGGACTGTTCAATTAATCTGTGTCTACCCCCATCGGGATAAAGACATAAGTGTAGATATATTGGAACTTGAATAGTTTTTTTAATATTGATGATTTGTATTATTGTAAACTGGTTTATTCTCTAAAATGTAATGACGTATTGGGATTTTTGTACGAAATAACTAAACAATAAAAAAAAGTTAGATTTTAATAATAGATAGATGTTAACAAAAGCAGAGCGACTTTTGTTGTTAAGAATAAATAGCGTTAATCACTTATTTATATGCGGAAGAACGATAAAAGCAATCTTAATAAGAAGCTGAAACAATATTTTAAATAATTGAACGTTTCGATATACATTACCTGTTCACACAAAACATTAACATAAAGCGTTCGAAGTAAATCCGCACTCTATTACAAATATATTAACATATTCTTACAATTCACTTCTGTTTTTAGGTAGATTTTAATTATAATAATAACTAAAAAATTATTCACAATACGTATAAATGTAAAAAAAACGATAATTCTATCCAAATGACTGAATATTTATCTCGTCTTTGTTCTAAATTAAAATATCTTAACGTTGCTTTTGAAATACGCAAATTAAACATATTAAATATCCATAATAGAAGTAACTTTTACTTTGCTGCCAAGATGCAAGGCAATAGTATATCTCCACAATTATAATGTTTTGCGTAATACATTGCGGCTTTTACTTTAGCTAGTTAATGTGACGTTCTGGTCAATAAACAGTGAACATCGAAAAAAACTTTTACGTACTGAATAATATCATATTATTAACATATTATTATGTCAAAATATTACCAGCGTTCAAATAAAAATGCCTTGAATATTGACCAAAACGAAATACATACGTTATTGATTACGAAAGATTTTTTTGCTACTTATTGGTTAATTCTCCCGTGGGTGTCGTAATAGCCGACCAAGAGTGCTACGCTGGACAACAGCACTGCAAAGAGAAGGAAAACTTGAAATAAATCCTATACAAACCCGTCTAGCGTTGCATAGTACGCCAAAACCTTTCTAAGGAGAGGCCTATGTCCAACATTGGACTATGAAAGGCTGTTGATAATGATGATTGATTCTCTCTGTCTCTCTATCACTTATCTGCTTCATTAGCAGTATAAAATTTGATTAGTTGATTAATGATAGGTACCTAGTGATTGACGTTGTCAACTCTGCGTGAAACCACACATACTTAAGGCTATTGTCCTCGAAGGGTGACAGCGGCGTATTAATCGCCGATATTTTGCCAACTATAATAAGAATCTCACTCACGTTTCCCCCTATGGGAAAGCCTATTTCAACGTGCACATACATTTCTAAATAAACATACATATTATAGATAAATTACATACCTTTGGATTGCTGGACGTTTACCAGGTGCCACGGGCCGTGGTCAGCGACTGAAAGAATTGTATTGAACGTCCACATTTTCCCAATTATAATTTTAGTTCTACTGACGTAATAGGAGGCAAGCCTATATTTTTCTACTTTAGGGATTGCATGGGAAGATTGAAAGCAGGGATTCCCAAACCGATGTTAAGCAATTCTTTCGTTGCCTTTCACTGAGTGAGTAAGGTTACCGGAGTCCAAAATCTCCGCTGACTTGAGCGGGCATCAACGCACTTGTGACCTTAGAGTTGCAGGTGTCCATGGGCAGCGGTAGTTGCTTACCATTAGGTGACCCGTCTGCTCGTTTGCCCTTTTATACCATAAAAAAATATTGGTCAAGAGACCCCTTTTCTAAAATGAACTGATTACATGACCTCAGACCCCAATAGCCAATTTACAGCACGCTTATCCACTAGTTGAGTCTTTTAAAAGTACAACAATGATATTACCGCCTAAAAATATTAGTCATTCTTATTACAAATTGGTACACGTAACACAACTAATACAGTATTTTGAAGGTTCAAACAAGAACTTGTGTTAATTAATAGGGGTCGATTTTCACATCTCATCGACCCTAAAAATCAGTTTTCGTTTATGTCGACCCCTGGGAAACCGATATCGACCATTTCGGGAATCCCTGATTTGAAATATATTGAAAGGGAAGGTAGATAAGAGGGAAAGGCAATGGTAGGAAAGGGATTTTGCTTATAGGGATGGGTTGGGGAGTGTCAGCTGATACTGTCATACTTCGAGCAGGTGAGGGTCGCTTATCTGTAACTCGAATCTGTTGATTTCGGATAACTCTAACCGAATCCGCGTATTGCCGTCATATTAAAAAATAAATAGGGTTCTTATAATGTAATGTTAATGTCTAATAATAAGTAAGGTTTTAAGTGCACTAATTGGATATGCTATTCTAGGGTGAAAATTTAAATACATATGTGCTAAAGTTGTTTATGCTAATTATAAATTTGTTACACATTTCAAATCAATGTAAGGTTTGGTTAATATCTTGTTACAATGTTATTTTTTTTAAATTCAAGTTAGCCATATGTTTTACAAACGTCGTTTTATCTCCGCGCGATGTTAAACTAGTTATAATTATATTTGAATACATTCACAATAATAATAATAATAACCTCACACATCTCACAAACGGATGTCTGATCCCAAACTAGGCAGAGCCTGTACTATGGTAACCAGACCGCTGATAAACATATTTATATATTTCTAAATACATACATATTATAGATAAATTACACCCAGACACAGAACAAACGTGCTCATCACACAAAGATTAGTCCTGGCTGGGAATCGAACCCACGACCTCCGGCTTAGCAGTCAGGGTCACTAACCATCAATGAATACTCTATCCAAAATAAAAAGAATCATTTAAATCTGAATAACCCAATAATCTAATAATTAAATCTTCGACTTGTTTAATTAATAGTCTTAGCAATACCTGACGGGCAATCCTTATGTGCAAAAGTGCCTGAATGGTTTCTCTGTAATTCATTAACTTTTACTTGCTGCATAAACCTTCTGTATTTACATCTTCCGGTAAGAAGATGCTTTTTATTTGAAGTCCTCTGTATACTCGTATAATATCTCTTAGATGAGAAACCGTTTCTGTTTATAATATTGTTAGTTATCTAAGTTTTCTTTTATAATAATATGTTGAAATGTATTTAGTAACCATACAAATCAGTTTATGTATCACAATTTAATAATAGTCTAGAAATCAGTTTAGCCATCTATACTACTACTTTAGAAGCTCGTGACCGTGTGCTTTCAGTGCCAGTATATTTTTGTAGTTCTCATGTTAGTATCACAGATGGCGTGGCCCTCAAATTAAGAAATGTCGCACTAAAGGATACAAGACAAACTCGACAGTACAGCTTTATGTTATATATTTTAATTTTACATAGAACATCTTTATTTAATTATATCATTTAAACATCTTTATTTGACAGAGAACCTCTTATTAAAACATCATTATGGCAGGAAACTCATTATAATCTCTTAATAAAAATTCAACAATAAAGCTTTTAAAAACTTGAGCGTAGATTCGAACAGGTACCTAAATGCAAAGGGGGTACCTAAAGTCACTAACAAATTTAAATACTAGAAGCGTTTCACGTTTCCCACAAAACGTCTAAGATCGTTTATGATTACACTACACTACTTCAGCGCGCGTGGCCCCGGCAGGCCTATGGACGGGGGTAGGCCCGTCGGGCGCGTACGACGGGTTGGCATCACCGCACTCTGCGTCCATATACCCGGCGTTCTCTATGATGCGGCATCGGGCTGTGTCTGTCTCGCGCTCGGTGTATAGCAACCGAGCTGGTCGTCCACCGAGGCTTGACAGCGCACTGGGAGCGCTGGACCGCGTTATCGATCCTTCACGCAGCGCCACAGAGCCACGTTTTCTCTCTGGAGCCGGAGACCCCCGATACTCTGACGTGTCAGGCCTTTTACACCGTAATAGCTTCGCGAATGCCGCCCGGAAACCGGCATTCTTCCACGCGTAGATTAGAGGGTTTATTCCGGAGTTGGACATAGCTAGTGATGATGTCAGCCGATATGCAATGTGGTTGTGGAGCGGCATGATTGGCAGCGTTTGTGCACAAGCCACTACCACGAACGGCATCCAGCATATTGAAAATGATCCAAGCACTAGAAGTACGACCTGAAATTCAGAAATGTCTTTGTTAAAATGTGTTACAGTAATGTGGACGGACTAGACTTAACAGAATATTTTTTTTATGATAAGTTTACATGATCTGATTGCTAAGTCTGCGCAGAACAAAATGAATACCTATTATAATTTTTCCTCTTGAGTCCAGGGATAAGCTTTTTATATTATGACTGAGTAGCAGCAGTATAACCAGCTTAAAGTTCAGTCACAACTAGAATCCACACAGTAAATAAATTCGTTCCTGTGACATGGTTATTGAGGGAATTGCATGGAACTTCATACTGACTGAATGAAGACTCTAATGATAAAAATGTACCTGTATACTCTTCCAATCATTAGCCCCTGTAGGACAGCAAGTGTTAGCTCTCATGCGCCTGGCGTGACAGGTCGCTTCCCGCCATATCCGCCAGTACAGTATAAACATCACCATCCAGATCAGAGAGAACATCGGAGCCAGGATACTAGTCGTGTAGGACTTCGGCACAACCTGAAATTGATACACGCGTTTCTTATTTGCTGATACGCAAGTAGTTCGGAGCAATTCTTTGTTAAAAGAGGAGTGTGAGTCTGTTACGAGTGTTAATCTATGGTTTTTAAGAAAGGTATTTAAACTGAGATAGTTCTTAGCTATTTTGATATCTTTGATCACTAACTACTCGAGTAACCGGTCTCTCTAACCACACAATACTTTGTTTTATATTTGTTGGAGCAGGGTTTACGCTCTTTACGCGTTACTATGAATATATTTTAAAGATTATAAGCGTAGGCACTTTCGTTAGTTCTAAAATCTGAAAGATTTAGACGAAAACCATAATAAAATATGTCAGTTTGCGACTAGCTCCTTTTGTTGGTATATGTATATCTCAAGAACTTACCAAATTCATCTCGCATGCTACTCCTTCGTGCCAGTCGTTCCAGAATATAGGTATGCAACTGATGCAGACGGCGACGGTCCACGTGGCGCTCATCAGCAACCGTGTCACCAGTTTCGTCAGGTACCGACTGTAGTGTAGTGGGTGTACTATCGCAATGTACCTGCCAAAAACACATGGCGTGACTCCATAACTCATTACAATATTTATTAGAAATAAAAATCAAAACGAAGGTCATTCCACCTACCTATCAACAGCGATCGCTATGATATTGTATATAGAAGCGAGACACGCCAGTATTATCAGAATGAATCTCATCAGGCAACACCACTTTATCTTGCCTAATTCGTCATCTAAGTAAAAGACGAGATGATAGGGCAGCGTCAACCCCACCATAAGGTCTGATATAGCCAGATTCAACACGAACTGATTGGATACGAGCGACGACAACCGCCTGCTCAAAGTCACAGCCAGTATCGTGAGCGTATTTCCACTGACGATAAGCAGCATCAGTGATCCGTCCACGATGCTCCAGGCCCAGTAATTGTACAAGTTCTGACTCGGCCCCTCCTCCGTCGCGTTCCACCCCCCGCTCTCGTTCCCGAAATCAACGTCCATAACATCGCTGGGGGTGGTCGCCAGCGCCCCCCACTCCGAGTAGTTCGACGTCGTGTCGAAGCTCACACGCACATAGTCTTAACTGTTATCGTCACTTGTCACACGCGATACACACAAGACATTAACAGAGGTCTCTTTCCTAGGGCACTTCTTGCACATTTTCTTAGCACTGTGTCAGTATCCAGGCCTCCGACACCTGAAAGAAGGAAAGGATTATTATATTTCAGGCGAGAGTAGCGTATGTACGTGCACGCTCCTTGTTAATGCATGGCGGTGTGCACAAATAGTAGTATGCATCGCTCTCACAAATTGCTCGACAGGACCTTTTACTTCGCTTCTCTTTATAACATTAAGAACTTTTTGAAGGGGTTGTTACTGTGAGCGTTGCAAGTTGGAACACCCGCTCGCGCGCTCGGCTATGAATTATTTATGTGTATGAGCGATATAAGACGAACTTAGCGTGTGTACATCGTATCGTAATCGATTGCAGTATCATTATAAATGAAATATTTTGAAACGTGTCTGGTAGTTTTGTTACATCAACAAATTGTTTATGTGTCAAGATTGGCAAGTTTGTTCACGTTCCTGCTTCTTAATAATTCACAAATAGCTCGTTTAGGATTTCAATTGATTTTTGATGCTCTCTTTGTATTAGGATATACGGTTATAATATTAAATGCTCTTGTGCAAAGGTTATTATATTTATAATAAGGGCAAAGTAAGAAACAGAAAACTTAAAACAGCAAAGGATCTTAGAAAGACCTGGATCTTTTGACTTAAATGATCCTATGTCAAGAGAAAGAGTCATTCCAGTATTTGATAAGTTACCGAATGTAATAATAATAAGCAATAATAATTGAATTAAATAATAACTGAATAAAGTGAACACATGATGAATACATGCCATATGCTTTTTGGATTGGAAAACAGTGTGCATCATGCGCATTAATGAGTAATACATCCAACGTTCTATCCAGTCCATTTATTTCGATGGTATCGTTTAAGTGGTATCGCTGGCTGAATTCACTTTGTTACCAATTTATGTCGGGTAAGTAACGAGGTACAGACTCAGTGGTATCCGTAAATTTTACGACACCCGGATACATTGATTATATTTTTATACTTATTTGGAAGTTTGGTAGCCTTAATAAGACAATTCATTGACGTTTATTAATAAACTGTTCAGCTTTGTATCGAAATTACTGTCGCATTGGGATTTGCCTTCGATGGACGATTTAATACAACACAAGAGCAGTCAGCACTCATCGAGAGTAGATTTTGAGCGGTAGAATGACAAATTGAAACGGTAATTGCTTGGAAAAGAGAAATTTTGATGAATGTTACGTCAAGGTTTTAGAATTTTGGGTTGCAAAACTATTTGGTATGCTCCAATAACGCATATAGATAGCGTTTTGTAGCTCAGTTACCTTCTAGTTATACAATGTATTGAGAGATTTATTCGTAAATAATTCTGGTAAATAACTGTATATATAATATACTGAGGATATATTGCAATGCTCTATATGTGTATAGAATCCGCTTTAAATTATTTGTAAATATCTCAAATGATACGCTAATGTTTTCAGCGCAGATATCGAAAATCGATAATTATGTGAGGCGTGAGGAATAATGATTATGAATAATTAAATTTAATCTCCCAAATGTCGTTAATATAACCTAATGTTTGGGTTCTAAGTTTATTTTGGTAAACCTTGCGTAAACAGTTGAAGCGGTAGTCTTAATTAAAATGGTAAATATTATTGAATTGAAATTGATTACGCACCTAATTGTCTGTAAAACTTACGTAAACTGACTTAATTAATATGCCAATGAAGTCTTAAAATATCGAAACGGATGAAATTTGCCACAGATTTAGATTGAAGTCTGGAAGCACATAGGTTACATTTGACCCCGAAAATTGATACTAATGTATGCGAAAATGCAGGATAAAGCTAGGTGCACTATAAAATAACTAAGGTCTGTAAAGGTACCATAGAAATAGATATCGGTATCGTGAGGTGACAAATACAAATGACGTGATTGCTTTTCGTATTCAGTTCACAGGCGTACAGGGCTAATAGAATGCCCTTTATCAATGACTTCTGCATTAATATGCGTTTGAGGCGTCCGCGTGAATAATACCTGTTTGTTGACGGCTCTCAACACTACCTGCTTTTAGTTTAATCTCTCTTATCAGTGGTTTAGGAACACATAACAGACATACACATCTCTACAAAAAGGTATACCTGTCTATATATGTAGATGTGATGCATTGAAGAAGTTTATCAATTTGTATAGTAAGTTATATTGCTTTTAATAAAACAATTGATTACTAAAGATGTACAGGCTCATACACATTTATCTTTCGCGGTGCCCGACTAGTTAACTCAACGGACATCGAGGTTTTTCGAGGGTCAAAGCGTGTTGCCTCGAAGTTTTTCTAGAAAGATCTAATACATTACAAATTTTGATAGTTTAGTAGCAATACTTCAATTTTTATTTTCACCTGGGTCATCTGATGGAAAGCGACTACCGCCGCCCATGAACTCCTGCAACTCAGAAGTCACAGTCGCGTTGCCAGCCTTCGTAGTTTTAGAAATATTATGTGGATTGAATCATTTCTGCACAACACGATCCAATTAAGCTTAATAAACTAAGCAATTAGGAAAACGCGCAGTTAATTGAAAACAAAAACTTGTTTGTTTGGTACCTGTTAATATGGAACATAAAAATGTTATGGCCGATGAAATGAAAGTTTGTTAAGTTTCGTGGGCCTCGTATTCGAGTAATTGAATATCGGAAAATAAGTGGAGTGACATTGAAAAAGATAATTTAGAAAGTATATATTTTTAGTGTTTATTGATTTTTTGACTAGCTCTAGTTGTTAGTAAACCTGACTGCTCAAACAGAGGTCGTGAGTTTGATTCACAACCAAGAAAAAAATTGTGTGATCGAACGATTATTAGGTTTGTTTGGGTGTAATTTATTTGTCGTATGTATGTATCTGGAAATATGTTTATCAGCAGTCAGATGACCATAGTACAGGCATTATCTAGTACGGGATAAGACGGCCGCGTATGAGATTTGTCAAGTAATTATAATTTATTTGAATATTTACGATTTAGTTTAAGGTAATGTAGCATGTTCAAATCGCGTGAGTCCATTATTGTGGATTTATTAACAACCATTAATATAATTTTAATTGCTAAATTTTCATTAAATTCTTTTGTATATTTTTAGTGAATGGGTTTTGAACTCGTGACACGAGAGTCACGGTCGTGGCTATTGTCGCAGACGCTGAACAATTTGTTATTAAAACTGTAATTATCTAAAATCTTATCACGAAAGAAATAGTACTGCGATACATCTAAATAGTGCCACGATAAGGTAAATAAACAGTTCAAGGTCAATAGATATTACACGTTTATATTGATAAGCTATTCTTTTCTCTTTGGTCATAGATAAAATTTCTAAGAGCAAAGACTAAAGAGCGTTTTTATTTTTTTTTATTATTCGGTCAATTATGCAAAACGATCAATTATGTGACAATAATGGCGACAATTGTAACAACCATTTTTTTTTCGAATGTTTTTTGAAATAGTCAATATTGTTTAAGAGAAAAAGGTCTTTAGTAAATTACAGTTCCAGCAATAAACTTACTTCAAAGATTTTCGTGTAATCACTAAACTCACATAGAAAAGAACCTAACATACACAGTGCCTTTTACTTTAACAAGTTATGAACTTTAGTATTTCAGATGTAAACTTCCAGCTATGCGGCTGGTAAGTCTCTAACTAACAAAAGTAAATGTGCTTTCAACTTAACATATATAATTCCAGCGATTCTCCGTATTTACTTGTTACTATATTTATTAATACTTTAGGTCGAAATGAACTGTAACAAATTAAACTATAGGTCAAAAGTACTTCGGTTGATAAACAAAGAAAGAAAATTACTAAATTTATCAACAATAAGATCCCCACATCTGATCATTGTCTAGTTTACAGTAAGAAAAAATAGAATAGAAAGTTGACAGTCCGTTTAGTAAAGTTTAAAAATAAAGACGAAAGATTTTCAGGGCCTTCAATGAAATCTAGATTATTCTTTCCCTATTACCAGCCTCGTGTTTTGGGAACTTTGGATCTTTGGATGTCAACATAGTGTTACGTAATAAATGTGTATAATGCAATATCGTATGCAAACAAGATCGAGTTTTAAGTCTTATCACTGGGGTCAACGAGTGACTTGTTAGTTAGTTAATTATTTCTATTTCTGATTTCCAAAGTACAGGAAAGAAAACAGTAAAAGGAATTCTGCGACTTTGCAGTTCTCGTTAAAGTTCTAGTTTAGTTAACGAAATGGCCCAAGTTTTAAATAAATTGCGCTGGATATGAAAAAGCAAGTTTATTTCGAAATTCACTTATCAAATGTTTCTTATTTCTTGTAAGTTTAGCCGTCTAGCGGCTTCAAACTTTATCACGTTATCTCTGAGAATTATATGGAATGTTTAATCGGACGGTTTACCCCGGAAGCATGAACTCGTTACTTCGTGAGCAGTTTCGAAGTTCGCAAATGGCCGCAAGAAGGGATTCACTCAAAGCCAACGAGAACGAATAAGGAAAAACTTGTATACAATTTTCATAATGCTTCCGCCGCATTATATTCGGTATGATACAAGTGAATGGAATAAACTTGAAAATATAAAATGAGGTAATCCAATGCGGCCTCGATAAAGATTTAGGTCGTTGTCCGCAAAATGACTGAGGCAACACTAATGCTATCGACGCAGTTTTGCAGAGTGCAGGGGAAATTGCCGTATTTGTGCTGGAGACATTTTACTGATACCAGTCACGATCACAACTATCAAAATTTCATCTCTAGATGAAAATATCAGATGCGAAAAACGAAACTGTTAGGCTGATAAGGCCTACGCTAACACCGGATGTAAGCGAGAGAATAAAGGCATGAGGTCAAAAGCAAAACAAGTTGTACTTAAAACA